AATGAGAGCAAAAATTCTGTAGAATTTAAAAACAATAAAGTTTTTCGGTATACAAGGACGAATAGATATTGAAAATGCGCTTTTAATAAATTTAATCTTTTTAAGATAATAAAGTTTGCAGGATGAAATTCGATGATGAGGTCGTGCGTATATTTTTCCTCAAACAATAATTTTTTCAAGAAAAAAATGCAAATTTTCAAGCATATTTAAGCACAAAATTTGTAACAGACATTTTCCATTCCCATTCGTCCTTATGCACCAAAAATTTATTCTGTTATAATTCTACATAGTTTTATCTTTTATATGATACCCTACATCTACCCAATTTTTAAATAATTTTTTTGGAATAACCATATTTTTTAATTTCGAACTCCTTTAAAAAAAATTCTGACGTCAGAGATAAAAACTAAGTACGTAGTTTTACTATAATTTACCCATACTTTCGCGATTATTATTCCATGTCAATCCATCTTAAACATAATGTCTTAGCATGTCATCGCTACTTAGCTAGGCTGTTATTCACTGTTGTGTATGAAAATATATAGAGATTGTGAATTAAAATTTTTTTTATGAATTTTGCTATAATACAAGCTTGCAAAATTTTAAAAATCTCTTTATCGTTGTAAAGCTCGCACAGCTCATCGTTAAACCGTCTGCGATGTTCGCCATCGCGTAAAGGCCCGTAAATCTTTCGCAGAATCTTTCTCTCGAAAACTCAAAGAGCCGCTTCATCAGATGTTTTCATTGTCCATGCCTCCGCGTCATACACCGGCATGATGAGTGACTTAAAGAGTGTGATCTTTGTATGACGAGAAAGGACTTTACTTCTGAATTGCCTACTCAGTCCAACGTATCACAGAGTGATTCACCGTTGGATTTCAAGGCTGACATTATTATAGGTGTTAATGCTGGTTCCAAAACAAACGAAGTCGTCTACTTTTTCAAATTTGTAACTGTCAACAGTGACGTGTGTGCCAAGATGCGTATGCTGTGAGTGTTTGTGTGATGACAGGAGATACTTCGGTTTGTCCTCGTTCACCACCAGACCCATTCGCTTTGCTACCCTATCTAATCCCGAGAACGCAGAAGAGACGTAGCCATTGTTTTTACCGATAATATCGATGTCGTCGGCATACGCCAGCAATTGTACGCTCTTGTAAAGTATTGTACCTGAGCGGTTCAGTTCTACGGCCCTTATTATAGGTGCGTTCGCGTAGCTGTTAATTGTTCATGTTTAACCAAAACTT